GGCTTCTGTGCCCTCCTTAGCCACATTCTGATGACATCACTCCCACCTCCTGGCCAGCATGGCCTCTGAGTCCCCTGCCTTCACCTCAGCGGTCACACAGCACCTCACAGACATTCCTCCATGTCAGCTTTGACTCCCTCTGTGTGCTCACCCCTCACCCCAAGGTGAGGGTACAGGCAGTGTGCACTCCCGGGCGACTCTCCACCAGTGGGGATGGAAACCAATAGAAAAAGGTTCCAGTCACCTGTCCTGCAGGTGCACTCTGCATGCTTTTCCCAGCAGACTCCTGCACTTTGACAACACAACCCTGCCCCAGTCCCCCCACTTCTGTCTCTCCCTGCTCCGGGTTTCCCTTCCCTGTAAGTGACGCCATCTCGGCTCAGCTTTTAGGGAAGCCAGGCTAAGAATGCTCCTCCTCCATCTTTTACAACCTTTCTCAAAAGCACATCTTCCAGCTATGCAAACAAACCACAGGTCCTTGTCCCATTCATTCCTCCATCACATTTATGTAGCACCGGCTGTAGGCAGGCACTCTTCTAGGCACTCTTCTTTATTCTATGAATAAAGAGACAAAATCCCTGCCCCCACCGAGCCTAGTGAGGAGGGGCTCTGGGTAAGCCAATGAAAAGATGGGGGAGGCAGCCTGATCGGGGAGGAGAGGAGAGCTTGGTTGGTACAAGGGCAACAAAGCCTCAGTGGGGAGTTCTGGAGCAAGTTTGGTCTGTCAGAGTGTCCCATCTAGGCTGGAAAGGTCAAGGTGCCATAGCCCCTGCCTCACTCAATCACCAGATGCTGCGAATCACCTGGAAGACTGTGACCTCAGGGGAGGCTCTGTGCAACTCAGGTGGACCCTGGAGGATCTGAGAACTGGAGGTTATCTGGTGATGGCTCTTCCTGAAGATCTTTCTGGAAAGAGTCTGGCTAGTGCAAGCTTCGTGTCTACCACATGGACCGAGCTCAGGGAAGGCCTCGTGGAGCAGACTTGAAGGAGATCAGGGAAGCAGAAGCTGAGACATGTAGAGGAAGAGTCCTACAGACAGGAAACAGAGAAGCACATATCCTGGGTGTGCTTGCCACTGAGGCCACTGAGCAACGCGAGGCTGAAGTGAGTGAGCAGCAGGAGAGGAAGTCAGAGCAGTAGTGGGCCAGCTCCAAAGCCACGTGAAGAGTCCCACCTTTACTCTGAGCAAGAAGGGCGCCATGGATAGGCGGAGGGGTAAGGGTAGTAAGGACGTTACCGAGGGAGGGCGATTCTGGAGCAGGAGAGCCCATGAAGAGTCCACTGCTGAGCTTCCGGAGAGGGGAGCTAAAGACAGTCAGCGCCTGCACCCTGGAAATGCTCTGGAATGCAACAGTTTCAGGATCACCCAGGCCTTGTTTACCCTGCATCTTTAGGCAGTATCTGCTGCCCTCTGGTGGATGTGCTAGAGATTACCCACACCCACTTCCCGCTTTGCTTTGCTTTGCTTTTGCCAGTAGTCTATGGGGCCTGTGGGTTCACCTTCAACTTGCAGTTATAAGAACTCTTTTGTCATGGATCTGATTGTGGAGGTATCAGGCAGCACTTGGTGGAAACATTTCATCAACTTAGACAAAGGAAGGCAAAGGGAAACTGTGGTGTGGCTGCAACAGTATTTGAAGTGGGGCTGGGGCAGGGCCATGTGATGTTTTCTACCAGTGATGATTAGAAGCAGAGAAGTGGGGCTGAAGAATGTATCTAGGGCTGGAGGCTGTAGAGCAGGCACTTGTTCTCAGGAGGAGAACAAGGTGAAAACACTGAGGGTGCTTACCAGAGGGCTCTGAGTTCCAGGGCAGTCATGGGATCATGCTGGGAAGGGAAGGGAAGGGAATGGGGGGGGGGGGGGCAAGTCCCAATTCACGGAAAGAAAATGGGACACCTGAAGGCCTGTAGGTCAAAACAGAGCTGGATATCTGGTGGAGAGAGAGTGTGAGAAGACTACAGACAAAGGGGGAGCAATGGGAGCCATGGAGCCACTGGAAGCATTGCTATGGACTTGGCTGCTGCTGGACAGAACCCAGGCACCTGCACCCCCACTGCTCCTAAAACTCCCCACCACTGCTACAGCCCACAGTCACCCACACTGAGGCTGACACAGGGAGGAAGGAAGGAAGGAAGGAAGGAAGGAAGGAAGGAAGGAAGGAAGAGGGAGGGCCAGAAGGGAGGAAGAAGAAAGAAAAAGAAAAGACGGCATATATAAATATGTGCAACAACAAGTTGAAAGACACTGGACATCAGGCAACAAAGGACAGTGACTCTGCAGAAATGGGCAAAGAACAAGGTGAGCCCTGTGATTGTCCAAGCTGTCTTATTTCCAGACAGGGAGGAGGAACTAAAGTGTAATACTCCCTGAGTTGAAAAGTTGAAGCTAAGAGCCTGGGGAGACCAAGGCTGCCTGAGTTCGTAGATAGGACAGAGTACCAGCAAAGAGAGAGTTGCACAGAGAAAGATCCTTGAGACCTGCAGGGGGTCACCCTCAAGTACTCAGCATGTGAGGGAATGCCCATGGCTGGGGAAAGAAACATCATAAAGAATAAGAAGACTAAATATGCTAGAAATAGAAGGGAATTTCCTCAACCTGATTCAGGGAATCCATGAAAAACCCACAGTTAACATCATACTCCGAAGTGAAAGATTGGATGCTTTCGCACTAACAGCAGTAACAAAACAAGGATGTCTTACCTCACCTCTCCTATTCCACAGCATACTGGAGGTTCTGGCTAGGTCATTTAGGCAAGAAAATTAAACAAGAGGCATCCAGATTGGAAAAGAAGAAGTAAAACTATCTCTATTTGTAGATGACAAGATCTTATACATAGAAAATCCTAAAGAACCCACCTAAAAAAACTAGAAGAAACAAGATCAGCAAGGTTGCAGGATACCAGCTAATATACATAATCAATTGTATTTTTACACATTTGCAATGAACGACATGAAAAATGAAGAAAAAATTCCATTCACGATAGCGTAACAAAGAAAAAAGGAGTAAATTTAACAAAAGTACAAACTTTATATTCTGAAAGCTACAAATCATCGTTGAAGGAAATTAAAGATCTAAGTAGATATAAAAATTTCCAATGTTCATGAATTTGAAAACCTAACATTGTTAAGATGACAATATTCTTCAAATCCATCTACAGATTTAACACGGTCCCTATACAACCCCAGCTAAAGGGATCCTTACCTTACACGATGTACAAAAATGAACTCAAAACAGATTAATGACCTAAGTGTGAGAGATAAACCTAGAAAATACTTAGAAGACAACACAAGGGTAAATTTTCATGACCTTGGATTCTGCAATGGATTCTTAGATGACACCAAAAGCCCATGGAAACAAAGAAAAAAAGAAGATAAATTAGATATTATCAAAGCTAAAAATGGGGCACCTGGATGGCTCAGTCGGTTAAGTGTTGGACTTGGACTCAGGTCATGATCTCATGGCTGGTGAGTTTGAGCCCTGTGTTGGGCTCTGTGCTTACAGCTCAGATCCTGGAGCCAGCTTCAGATTCTGTCTCTGTGTTTCTCTGCCCTTTCCCTGCTCACACAGTCTCTCTCTCTCTCTCTCTCTCTCTCTCTCTCTCTCTCTCTCTAATACAAATAAACATTAAAAAATTTTTTTTAAGCTAAAAACTTTTTTGCTTCAAAGGAACCACCAAGAAAGTAAAAAGACAGCCCATGGTTACAGAAAAATACATACGTCCATTACTTCAAAATGAGCACCTGCCATGTGCCTGGCAATCTTTTAGGCACTGAGGAAATGAGACTTAAAATGAGAGACAAAAATCCCAGCCCTTCTGCCATCTGGTGTGGAGATTCAAATAAGGACATTAACCTGTCCAGCTGTTCATCATCAACACAGATAAAACCAGCTGTAACCAGAAACAGTATTTCTCTCAAGAAATACTGCAGCTGCTAGTCTGATAGTATCCTATTTCTCTGAGTGACTCCTGCTTTCTTACTGAGAAACTGTTTTCTAAAGTTGAAATTTGGCTGCTAGAAATCATGTCAATTCCTTCCAGGCAACAACCACCAGAAATTGATCTATTGTTGAAAAGTTGGGTTTGTTATTCATTGCTGTGAAAGAGAATGCATATCATGGGAAATCGTGGGGTATATCATTAACAGTGTTAGAACATAATTACAGGATTTGGGCTTGTTAGATGATTGGGAGGAGGGTTTGGGATAGGATGCTGTCAGAAAGTGGGGATAATTCTATAATTGAGTACCTTAATAGATTTCATCTACAGGGAGGCCAACTAGAGTGAGGCTAAACCTGGGACTGGTAAAGAAGCCATAGTCCTCAGGTTGGGGAGAGGATGTCTAGTAACTTGTGGCTTGGACAATGTTCATGTTTTGTGTTCAACATAAAAGCAGGGGGAAAGGATAGTTTGCAAACTTAAACAGGATGGTCAGGGAAGGCCTCGAATATAGTGACATCTGAGCAAAGAGACCTGAAGTAAGTGGAGGATTTTTTTAATCGTCTCAACATCTAGAGAAACAGCATTCCAGTAAAGAGGAACAGTTGGTGCAAAATCCCGGGCAAGAGCATGGGTGTGTTCCAATCATATTTTCATAGGGAGTCTACCCTCACAACCTCTTTACGAAACCTACCCCTACCCCACCATTACTCCCTCATCCTGCTTTTGCTTTTTTCCAAGAACTTTTCAACGTACAATTCTGTGTTCATTGCGTTTGCGAGAAAAGGCAGGCATCCTCACTCATCTCGTTCCCTATGTAGCCCTAGCTTTGAGCAGTGGGGGATACACAGCAGGTGCTCGACAGGCACGTGTGGAAGGGCGAACTGCATTGCCCCAAATCCCAGCGTTGTGGAGAGAGCGAGGCCAAGTGAAGGAGCAAAGCACCAGCACCCTCAGAAAAAGCGCCACAAGACCCGTACCATCCACCACCCCAGCCGGATGCCCGCCCTCGCGCGTGCGCCGGCAGCAGCCCAGATCCAGGCGCTTGGCTGATTGGCTGCGACGGCTCCTCGAAGCGGCGTTGCGCGTGCGCGCTTTCCTCGCGGGGGCTCGACTAGTGTGTAGCTTTTCGTATTCCCCGCCGCCGCAGCCCCAGCTCCCGGTCCGGGAAGTCTCATCCTCAGAGCTCGGAATGTTCCCTGAACTCAATAACCTTCTCAACACCACTCCTGACAGGGCGGAGCAGGTAAGGCGTCGCGCGGTGGGAAGGGGGCGGGTCCCGGAGCGTGGCGGAAGACCGTATACCCGGATGAAGCGCACGCGGACTCGTGGGAAAGGCACGACCTCCGCGGGCATGAAGCGCCTGGGAGTTGTAGTCCAGGGATGGCCGACCCGGGGACTGGGCTCCGCCCTGGAGCCTGCGGGAGGTGGGGGTCTTCTCAAAGGCTTGTGTATCCTTGAAAGTGCCCAGGAAGGTTGGCCGACTATGCATCGGCTTACGTACACAAGCGGATACCGGGGGGCCCTGTGCGTTCTCACTGGGGTGGGGGGCCCGGCGTCTAGAGGAGGTTGCCTGAGAGTTTGATTCTCCACCCTTCACTTGAGACCAGCTTCTTAATCGCCCTCGGTCTCTCTCTGGCCCCTCAGTACTCCGCGGTGAACGCTGCTCCTCCTCCTTTTCCTCATCCTCCTCTTGGTCTTTAATAGTGCTATTCCAAATTGCCTTCAGCCAGCGTTGGCTTGTATCAAGTCTGCCTGAGGCATAGCAGCCTCGCCACTCTTTCCTTCTTTCTGTACTTTGGGGCATCCCGAAATTTTTTATTTTAACCCAGGGGTTATTTCTTTCAGGAATTTACCTGGTTCATTTTATAACCATTGTCTTCCTAAGGAAATGGTAAACTCCAGGCAGCCAAGACATCGTGTGTATCGATCAGGCTTGCTTGCTTGCTTATTTATTTATGAAAAAATTTAAAATGTTATTTATTTTAGAGAGAGAGCCAGAGTGCGAGCAGGGGATGGGCAGAGAGAGAGAGAGAGAGAGAGAGACAAAGAATTCCAAGCAGGCTCCAGGCTCTGAGCTGTCAGAATAAAGCCGATTCAGGGCTCCAACTCACAGATTGGGAGATCAGGATCTGAGCTGAAGTTGGATGCTTAACCGACTGAACCACTCAGGCGCCCCTCAATTAGGCCTTTTTTTGATCCCCCCCCCCCCCCAGTGTCAGGCAAATTATAGTTTTAAGTAGACCCTTGTGGATTTCAGTTGCTCAAGCCTGAAGATGTTTCTGGTGACCTTGCTAATTACTGCAGGCACCTCCAAAGTGCTCAGCCCAAGGCCAGAGTGAAGGAATGGAAGATCAAAGTGGGCACCAGGAAATGACAGCCTGGAGGTAACCCTCAAGGTCTGATGGTGCGATCTTTCATATTTTATAAGTGAAAAAAAAGTCACAACAGTACAGAAGTGTCGTGTCTGATACCATTTGATTGCGACCTTCCCTATCACTGAAAAGGAACTAGAGGTGGCTGCAGCAAGGCAGTCAGCCACTGTGGAGAGCATCTTTAGAGGTCTTTCCAGAACTCTCCATGATCAGAGCTTTTCCTGAAGCAGTGTCTAGGGCCATTGGGATGAGAATTTTGTTATTGGAATTCTCTGTCAACACCTACTCTTCCCTCTCTCCCACCCTATTGTACAGATTTGGTATCGGAATTAAAAATAGGGAGGCGCCTAGGTGGCTCATTTGGATAAGCCTCCCACTCTTGATTTTGGGTCAGGTCACCATCTCACCAGTAGTGAGTTCAAGCCCCTCGTTGGGCTCAGTGCTGATAACTCAAAGCCTGCTTGGGATTCTTTCTCCCTCTCTCTCTGCCCCTCCCCCGCTCATGCTCCCTCTTTCTCTCTCAAAAATAAATAAACTTAAAAAAAAATAGGAAGGAAGTTGGATCATACTACTTTTTTGGAGGTCCATTCCAGTCTTAGCAGGCTGTGATTTTTGTTGGATTCTAATGGTAAAAGCTTCTCTAGTTCTTCCAAGACCGGTCCCCTGAGTTACCAAGGTGAATGAGGAAGAGAAGGGTTTTTATTCTCTCTTTGCCTTGGGAAAGTGGAAGCTGAGATGTGCTTGTCCGTAATGAGTGACTTTAATAACAATCACTCTAACTTTTGGTTTTTCCATAGTTTTGACTTACTTTCTTCTTTCTGGTAGAGTGTGTGTGTGTGTGTGTGTGTGTGTGTGTGTGTGTATACTGACCTCTTTCCAGGGAGTCTAATTCACCTTTTTGTGTTCCTCTTAACTCGTAGGGGAAACTGACTCTACTCTGTGATGCCAACACAGATGGCAGCTTCCTTGTGCACCACTTTCTCTCCTTCTACCTCAAAGGTATACGACTCATTGGTGCTATAGAAAAAGAAACCTAAGGCTAAAAGCAATGGGAATGGTATTGACTAACTAGGTCTTAGGTGTTTGGGTAGCCAGATGGCTGTTTATTAGGTAACAGGTTACTTGACCATCTTGTTCCCTGCCCATCCCTGCCAAAGGGTGGTATGTGCTCCTATCTTCCCTTCTCCACCCAGTGTGCAGGCATGGTCTCACTGAGATCCTTGTGTGGCCTCCTGATTTAGTTGCTCCTCAGTCTTTATGTATTTCTCTTTTTTTTTTTTAAACATTTTGATTTTGAGAGAGAGAGACAGAGCATGAGCAGGGGAGGGGCAGAGAGAGAGGGAGACACAGCATCCAAAGCAGGCTCCAGGCTCCGAGCTGTCAGCACAGAGCCTGAAGCGGGGCTCGAACCCATGAGATGTGAGATCATGACCTGAGCGGAAGTCAGATGCTCAACCAACTGAGCCACCCAGGCGCTCCCCAGTCCTTGTGTATCTTGAGGTTTTGGGGCTCTGGACCCATGGACATGTTGCCCTGGAAGTAGATGCTTCCTAAAGAACATAGGAAAACTGTGGGGCCACTGCAGTTTACATATGAAAATGGATTAGAAGAAGAAAACAGCCAAATGAAAAAAAAGACTCATTTATATCAGCTGATTCTCCGTGAGCCCCTACTGAGCCAGGCCAGAATAGAGTTTACACCTTTGGCACTCTTAGTTGTAATCGTTCACAGCTTTGAAAGTTGTTTTCTTTTCCAGATGATATTATTTTCAGGATTGAAAGAGCAAGAGAATCTATAGATAAAATATTAGAACTAATTATGTTCATTAAGGTAGCTAGAGTTTCTTTGTGTTCCACTTATAATTTCTTGGATATAAGACCAGTTTTTAAAAAAGTGAGTTGTTAAAAAAAAAAGTATTTCTGTACAAACAGAAAAGCATTACTTTTTAAAAACCACAATTTATTTACAATAGAACAAAACAAGGTACCTATGGATACACATAACTGAAGAAGTACATTTCAGGATCAATGAAATAGGTATAATTATTATATATGAAAAAAAGTGCAGCTTAGAATCAAATTGGGGATGTCTGGTTGCAAGGCCTCTTGGGTCTATAGACCCAATAAAGTCAGAGCTTTATTTTCTAGAGGTACAAAGTATATGAAACTGATTATACATAGAGACTTTATTAAACATCTGTTTATTTTGTTTTCTAGCTAATTGTAAAGTCTGCTTTGTGGCACTGATCCAGTCCTTCAGTCACTACAATATCGTGGGACAGAAGTTGGTAAATATTGTAGACCTCTGTGGTGCAGAGTATGTGGGTCATGCAGGTGTGAGTAGGGCCAAGGCTGGGCTCCCCTGGTTGGGTTGTAGAGAACTTAGCAAGGGAGGGACTGAGGAAATCATGGAGTTCTGAAACCCTTATCTGAAAAGCTAAGGCAGCATCTCTACCTGTTTTACTCATTTAGAATTTATAGAACCAAATCAGTTGTTAATTAATCAAACCTAGCTCTACTGACTCTGGACCAGTTAAGATTTTCTCCTTCTCACTCTGGGCTTTAATCTTAGTTCTGCTGGGTTGGAGACCCACAGCTTGGTCTACCACCAAATTTCTCCCTAAGTTACTGTTTCTCCCTAAGTCTACGGCTTAGTACTCAAAGGTGGAGAGAGGTGCTTTTGTGACCTGCTCCTTACCTCATCTCGGCCTGCCTTGCATCTTCTCAGATGTAGGCAGGCAAGAATAAGATGGCCAAGAGTCTGGCGAACCTTCTGGCCTAGTCTAGGCCATCACCTGTGACCTGTGACCAGGTGGGCTTACTAGTTTTTGTTTGTTAGTTTTGTTTTTATTTATTTATTATTATTTAAAAATTAAAAAAAAATTTTTTTAATGTTTATTTATTTTTGAGAGAGACAGAATGCAATTGGTTTGGGGCAGAAAGAGAGGGAGACACAGAATCTGAAGCAGGCTCCAGGCTCTGAGCTGTCAGCACAGAGCCTGACGCAGGGCTCGAACTCACAAGCTGTGAGATCATGACCTGAGACGAAGTTGGATGCTCAACTGACTGAGCCACCAGGCACCCCTATTATTATTAAAAAAAAATTTTTTTTATTTACTTAATTTATATTTGAGAGAGAGACAGAGAGAGAGAGCATGGTGGGGGGGGGGGCGGTCAGAGAGAGAGGGACAGAGAGAGAATCCCAAGCAGGCTCTGCACGTCAGCACAGAGCCCAATGTAGGGCTTGAACCCACAGACTGAGATCATGACCTGAGCTGAAACCAACAGTTGGACTCTTAACTGACTGAGCCACCCAGGTGCCCCTTGTTTTGTTTTTAATAGGCTAGCCTCAGAGAGGGAAAGAACCAGACCACCCATTAGCAGTGACTACTGAAATGCCAGTCTTCCTATTGGGCCATTACACTGCCTGATGTCACTCTGATGGGGAGAAACAAATGAGAGAATGGGAGGAGGGTAGACTCTTTCCCATCCTTTGCAGAGAAGGAAGACCTCCTGTGGTAGAGGTCAGAGCATGAGCTAAGGGAGAGCAGTCATGTCAAGAACACACGTGCATTCCAGGTCTGTGAAGCATGTCTCTATGGCCCTAGCATCAGTGTCTCTGGGTGAGAAAGCTGTGTATTCTCATGTCCAGATTGGCTACTTCTTCTGTTGCCTTTGAATCATCAGCATAGCAAGAATGACAGACATGGTACTGGGCACGTGAAGTCCATGAATGTGAGCCTCCATACTTTGGCGTATTATTGAACTGCCATTAGTAGAATTGTCATGAGCAAGAGCAAAGGTGAACAGGAGTCTTTCTCTCTGCCAGGGGTGGCTGTGGAGCTCATGGTGCTGCATAGCGGAGGACACTGGGATATAAATGAGCAATTGAGACCTGGTCTAGGGGCATGAGGAATCTAAAGAGTTCCACGTGACCTATTTCTGCACAGAGAGAGCAGTGAGTTGCAGATTTAGATTGTGTCTGTCCTTAGGTGTTTGTTGAAATGCAGATTCTTGGGCCTTGCCTGCAAAGCTTCTGATCCTGGAGGTTTGGAATGGTGCTCAGGGATCTACATTTTAACTGGGTGTTTCCTAAGAAAAAGATTCTTAATTGGGTAGTTTATAAAGAGCCATATTAAGAAATTCTGGTCTAGAGGTGCCTGGTGGCTCAGTCGGTTAAGTGTCAGAGTCTTGGTTTCATCTCAGGTCATGATCTCATGATTTGTGAGGTTGAGCCCCGCACCAGGCCTGCGCTGACAGTGTGGAGCCTGCTTGGGATTCTCTCTCTCTCCATCTCTTTCTGCCCCTCCCCTGTTCATGCTCTCTCTCAAAATAAATAAGTAAACTTTAAAAATTTTCTAGAAAATAAGTTTTAAAAAAGCTCTGGTCTAGAGGAGGGCTAGACAGAGTGTAGCCACTGCCATTTGTTTATGAATCGTGTGCGGCTGCTCTTCCTCCACAGAGTATTGCAGTGTAGATTGTCTCACCCTTTGCAAAAAAAGTTTGCTGAGCTTTGAACTAGTGCATCAAGAGCTTGTATTGTCCTAACTCTCATGGGAGTGCTTCCTCAGAGGTAGAGGGAAGAGAAGGAGAACTTGCTGGTAATGCAGTCTTCCTGTATTCTAGGCAGCCTGGCAACTCCAATCTCTGAGTTATGTTATTTGAAAGCCTCAGAGCAACTCTGAGGTCCTGTGCCACTGATGTGTAAACAAGAGGGTTTGTGAAACTCAAAGCCAAAATCTGTCCCTGTCTCCTTCACCAGCATTTTTCAGACCTTGGTCATTCTCCCACCATTTTATTGTCATTATTATTGTTTCTAAATACACTTAAGTTTATAAATATGTGCATTTGTAATACTACTGCAAATTAGAACCAAGTATTGAGTAATCACAAAAATGAGCATATAAACAAAAATGTCAGTTTTTTAAAAAGTGATAAATGTAGAGGCTCACCTCAAAACCGTGGGGATCGTGGGTTGGGACCACGCAATGGAAAGAAGGCGTGGGCCCCATACAAAGGTGTACAGGTACACATTTGCAGGGCTTAGAATGTGTCCTGTACCTTTTTGTGAGCTGGAATCCAGCCTCTGTGAGGGGTTCCTCTGCAAGGCACAGTAATTCACTCTCCTCTGTGTTGTGTTTAGGGTGTCAGCCTGACTGTGGCACGGGAGTGCGGGCAGCTTGTGTTCCTAGAAGGTCTTAAGTCTTCGGTGGATGTTTTCTTCCGGGCTCAGGCTGAGCCACACCCCTTGCAGTTCCTCAGGTCAGTCAGCCTGCAGCCCAGCCCAGAAGTGCATGCCTGGTAGGTGGACCCAGACCAGCTTTGCTGGGTGATTCCTCCCGTGCATGGGTGGGGGGACAGAGCTGGCTTTCAGAGGTAGCCATTTCCCTGGTGTTACAGCATTATTGGAAAGCTCTTGGCTCTTACCATGGGCTAGAGGGTATATGGCTGACCCCAAAGCTACAGAAAGCATTATTTGCTGGGAGTATGGCAGAACGGTATGTTTTTCTAACCTTGCTCAGAGCCCTAGCACACACCTTTATTCTGTTTTGGGGTTGATACAGGGATCGGCACACTATGGGCCATGGCTAGCTACCTGTTTTTGTAAATAAAGTTTTATTGGAATAGCTGCATTCATTTGTTTGCATATTGTCCCTGGCTGTTCTCTCCCATAGCACAGTTGAGTAGTTGAGACAGAGATCATTTGACCCACAAGCCTGAAATATTACTGTTGGCCTTTTAAGAAAAGTTTGGTAGGGGCGCCTGGGTGGCGCAGTCGGTTAAGCGTCCGACTTCAACCAGGTCACGATCTCATGGTCCGTGAGTTCGAGCCCCACGTCGGGCTCTGGGCTGATGGCTCAGAGCCTGGAGCCTGTTTCCGATTCTGTGTCTCCCTCTCTCTCTGCCCCTCGCCCGTTCATGCTCTGTCTCTCTCTGTCCCAAAAATAAATAAACGTTGAAAAAAAAAATTTTTTTTTTTAAAAAAAATAAAAAAAAAAAAGAAAAGTTTGGTGACCCCGGTTTGCTATTCTGAGATTGGGTTTCCTGCTTTTTGTCTTTTATGAGTGTCAGCCACAAACATAGCTCTGTGCAGACTCCCCACCTGTTCTTCCTTCACCACAGAGGAGTCCGTATGGGAACTCTCCCTGCTGCCCCCTCTCTCAGATGCCACCTTTTGCAGTGGCTGGAAGGCAGTGTGGAGTCAGAAGGCCCTGTGCCCTGACCCTGTGTGTGTGATCTCTCACATAGCTTTTAGCATCTCTGAACCTGGGTGCCTTCGTCTGAATGATGGGCCTAGTGACACCTGACCCCAGGTTGTGGGAAGTTGTTGTCCTTGCTGTTAGTGGGCTGCAGACCTGGAGCGTGAGCAGGTGCCTGGGCCCTGTGCTCTGGTGCTTTTTGAGCCTCTCTTGCTGGGAAGTGACTGCCAAGGTAGTCATTGGAGAGATGGAGGTAGCTGGGCCAGCTTCTTTAGAAATAGGTGGAATCCGGTAGGTACACAAACTGCCCTTAGACCTTGGTTCTCAACACCAGGTCACCTGAATGGCTATTTAGCTTTTTGCACCCATTATGACCTCCTGGGAAGACGTCTTCTGCCTGCCCAATCCAAATTAATCTTCTAATACCTTAAGCTCTTGGGTTGAGGGGCTGGCTGCATGGTGTCTCTTAAGGACCCAGGAGGCTGTTTATTTTTGTGTACCCCAGTTTCTAGCACAGTGCTTTGTACCTACTAGGCCTCAAGGAATATTTGAAGTACAGCTTGCTTGTGTATGCACGCATGCCTTTTCTTTCCAACCAGATCATGAACCCCTTAGTGCCAAGGACTATGATCCAGTTCTCTGCCTCCCCCAGCCCTTTCCTGTGGTGCTGCTTGGTCCCAGATAAACATTTGTAGACAGAGTGAACTCTCTGGTGACTCTCGCTTGATGTTCCAGGGAGGCCAATGCTGAGAACCTGCAGCCACTGTACGAGTTTGTGCAGGAGGCTCTGAAGCCCGTGGATGATGGAGAGGCTGCGTGGAGGTGCCCAGTGCTGCTGGTGGACGACCTCAGTGTGCTGCTGAGCCTGGGCATAGGTGCGGTGGCTGTATTGGACTTCATCCACTACTGCAGGGCCACCGTGTGCTGGGAACGAAAGGTACCGACCCGCCTGCTCTCTGTGCTCCTGCCTGTGATCTCCATAGGCCCAGACAGGCCCATACCTCCCTTGCTTGCAGTGATCTTTTTTGTTTATTTGGGGGTTCGGTTTTACCCTGGTAGGCCCAGAAATCTTTTGGTCTGCCATCCTTCCCTCCCCTACTTGCCACTGCTAAAAAAAATAAAGCCCTCAAAATTAAAAGATTGACCAGTACTGTCTCAAATGGGACCAGTCGTGTGTGGTACCACAGCAGTCCCAACTCTGCCACCCATTGCCTTGTGTCCTGGGACAAGTCATTATTGCTCTGGGTGTGTTTTGAAGATCAGTTGAGATATAAACTGCATTAAAAATTGTGAGATGCAGTACAAGTACAGGATGTAACTTTTACTGTCAAATTATGAGGCAAAAATGGGGATTTTACCATAATAGTTAAATAACGATAGTAGACCCACCTATAAAATAGGAATGGCTGTGGTGCCCACCTCGCAGGAACCAAGCTGCAAGAGTTAAGTGACATGAAGCTTACAACACTCCCATGCAGCGTCTGGCCCCCAGTGGCAGCTCTTCAGCGTGCAATGGTGCCCCTGGGAGGGACCTGCAGCCCTTAGCATGGTGTGGTCAGGCCGAGGGTGCTGGGCGGTTGGGATGAGCCAATGGAGTCAACCAGGGTGCATATACCCAGCACTGCACGCTGAGCACCTCCCAGGTGCAAGAGCTTACCTGGCAGCTGTGTTTAGGGGAGCTCCTGGAACTGTGTGGCTACAGGCACGGGGTGGGAACCAGGTGATGGGGAAAGAATGGGAGGAGGAGAGAGTGGAAGGGGCGTGGAGGGCACGGCTCAGTGACAGTGAAGCGGCCACAGCTCCTGCAGCTCAGCCTGCTCTACTAAGTGCAAGTGCCCACTACCTCCCTCGTTTGGTTAAAAAAACCTCTTTTAGCTGAAAAAGCAAAACTTGGGAATAGTTTAAAAAAGAAAAAATAGGGCACCTGGGTGGTTCAGTTTGTTGGGCGGCCGACTTCGGCTCGGGTCATGATCTCACAGTTCTTGGGTTTGAGCCCCGCATCAGGCGCTGTGCTGACAGCTCAGAGCCTGGAGCCTGCTTCAGATTCTGTGTCTCCCTGTCTCTCTGCCCCTCTCCTGCTTGCACTCTGTCTCTCTCTGTCTCTCTAAAGTGAATAAAAATGTTAAAAAGATTTTTTGAAAATAAGTAAATAGCATAAAGAGTACTTTAATAAAAAGTAATGATCTGTTTCCTAATGTGTATTCTGGAGAGTGTGTTCAATTATGAACATGTTTTATGTGTATGTGTTTCTGCATTTTTCTTCACATTACTGGTAGCCTGCCTTTTTTCTCATTTCATAATGCACGGTGTCTTTTGATGTCCATTGCCCAAAACCAGAATAGACAGATCTGCCTCATCCTTTCTAACTGGACGGTATCCCTTTGAAAGGACTTACTCTTCAAGGTATCCCCTTCAGTGGGTCTGAACCCCTCTGGTTCTGGTTGGGTAACTCCAACTTGCTCTTCTGACTCGGCTCAGGTGTGCACACCACGTCACCCTCCCCTCCGGGCCAGACATGATGCCTCTTCCCTGGGCTCCCCTAGCCCCCCATGCTCCCCTTTCTCCTGGCTTTGTGTCCTGTGTTGTTAGTATCTTTCTGTCTCCAGGGTCCATACCGGTCCCCTCTTATCCCCACTGTGGTGTCTGACACATGCTGTGCACTCAGGAGCTGCTGACTGGATGAATTGGTGCCTAGCAGAAAGGTGGCACTTTTTGCTAACATTGAGGACCACAGACTGAGCTGAGCTTTGTTTAAGAGGGATTGAGCTGGCAGTATAGGTTGGATGTGCTGGTGAGACTGTCCAGCAGGTGATTGGAATTAGGACCCTAGAGCGCAACAAGGGTCCTTCCATGGAGGGGGTGGTTGCAGCGGCAGCCAGAGGCTGCTCTGGGCGAGGACATGCAGAGTGGGGAGTGGAAGCACTGAAAGCCCAGTACTCCCTGGTGACCCTGCCCGGAGGAACGGTTTTCATCTTCCATCTCTGTTGCAGGGAAACATAGTAGCCCTGGTGCACGACAGTGGAGACACCGAGGACGAGGAGAACAACATCCTTTTGAACGGCCTTAGCCACCAGAGCCACCTGATCCTGCGGGCTGAGGGGCTGGCCACTGGCTTCTGCAGGGACGTGCATGGGCAGGTGCGCAGGGGCTCACTAGGCCTGAGCCTAGACTGTGTGTGGGATAGTGTCAGGCCCTGGGGGTTGTCTGGTTGGGGTGTTTCTTCGGACGGACGGAAAACCTCAGAAGTTGTGAGAACCCAAATTAGAGTCTGTTCCAGATGGTGCTAGCCTCATGTACCTGTTCAGGTGTTCCATGGTGGTCCCGTTTGTGACCAAAGTGCAGCTCCTAAAAAGGAGACCAGATTGCCTTCTGGAACAGAATGCAGGGGCCCTGCTATCAAATAGCAGAATGCCTCTGCAGGACCACAGCAGGCTTTGTATACTCAGGTCAGTGCTGCTGCTTTTATTTTTTAATTTTATTTTAATTAATTTATTTTTTTTTAAGTTTGTTTATATTGAGAGAGAGTGTCTATGCAGGTGAGGGGCAGAGAGAGAGAGAGGGAGAGAGAGCAAATTCCCAAGTAGGCTCCTCACTGTCAGCATGGAGCCCAATGTGGGGCTCAAAATCACGAGCCACGAATCATGACCTGAGCCGAAGTCAGACACTTAACCAACTGAGCCACCCAGGCACCCCAGTGCTGCTCCTTTTAAAATACAAATGTGGAGGCACCTGGGTGGCTCAGTCAGTTAAACTTCCGACATCAGTTCAGGTCATGATCTCTCAGTTCGTGAGTTCGAGCCCCGTGTCAGGCTCTGTGCTGACAGCTTAGAGCCTCCAGCCTGCTTCAGATTCTGCCCCTCCCCCGCTCACACTCTGTCTCTCTTTCTCTAAAAAATAAATAAACGTTAAAAATTTTAAAAAGTAATAATAATAAATAAAATATAAATGTGGGGGGACCATGCCCATGGCTGGGGTTGTTGCTGCCCCACTCTTGCCTCTGACCGAAATATTTGAGAACTCAGGCAGAAGCTGAGAGCCCTGCCTTAGAGGAAGGTCAGGTTCTACCCCTCCCAAGGGGCTACCATGCTTCTGTGCCTTCTGGAACTTTTTTTTTTTTTTTTAATGTGTATTTATTTTGAGAGAGAGAGAAAAGTACAAGTAAGGGAGGGGCAGAGACAGAGGGAGAGAGAGAATCCCAAATAGGCTCTGTGCTATCAGTGCAGACCCCAGTGTGGGCCTGGATCCCATGAACTGCAAGATCATAACCTGAGCCGAAACCCAGAGTTAGACGCTTAACTGAATGAGCCACCCATGTGCCCCTGGAACTTCTCTTTTGGAATCATCCCCCAAAGCTGTCATGGCTTCCAGGTTAACTTGATGTTGACCACTCTTGGCACATTAGAGGTGGGTGGGAGTTTTGGCCCAGAGTCATTCAGGGGTAGCTGTAGAAAATAAAACAAAGGAGCAAGCTCAGAAATGCTGTGTTGGTCGTGTTCATGTGCATGGCATGAGGAGAGGGTCCTGCCAGGAAGCTTGTGTCCTGGCTCTAAGGCCAGTCCCCCTGAGCATTCTAGCATGTCTGGCATTGAGATATCATCAGAATAAGAATAAATGTCTAGCCTTCCTGAGCCTCTGAATTGGATGTACTGATTTTAATGAGTCGATTTTCCCAATTATTGTAGCCAACAGATATAAAACCATGCCTAGGGAAAAGAGCAAAAGAGAACACATAAAAATACTTTAAGGGTTTGTATCTGGGGGGCTTTTTTTCTTTTTCTTTCTATTTCACACTTTCTGTAGTGAGCAAATATCACTACTGTAATGGACGGGAAACCTTTAGTTTTAGTTAGCTGGTCATAAGCTTTGTTTTAGAAGCCAGCCCCTGGCTGCATGGCACATGACTGTGATCTCAACTTAGGGGCCTTAGTTGCAGGTTACAGAGGAGGCAGGTAGGGTTCATAATGGAGCAGGTAACTTGGGGGCTGCTTCTCTCTCATCCTGCTTCTTGTCACTGTAGCTGAGGATCCTCTGGAGGACACCATCACAGCCCACAACCCAGCGGGATCGGAGCCTCACTTACCAGTACAAGATACAGGACAAGAGCGTGTCCTTTTTTGCCAAAGGAATGTCTCCTGCTGTTCTGTGACCTGATTGAGGGGCAAATGTAGCTACCTTGGACTGTTTTCAGATGTGAAAGATGAAACAACGAGTGGGAATGGATCTGCACACCTTTGAAGTGGTATTTCAGCCTGGATTGCTACCACTGTGACCCGATGCTGTGGAATGGCTCTGTGACAGTATGCCTTTGTTGCCCAGGGCCCTGTTCCGGAAACACATAAGGAATTGCAACCCGGCCTCTGCTGAGAGAGATGCCACATATTGAAACCAGGTGAAAGTCATCCCAGGAGCCTTTCATTAAATACACTTTAGCCTCAACTGCCCATTTTTGGCTTTTGAGCCTTTCAGAGCCAGAGAAGGTATAACTGTGCCAGCCAGGGGACAGTCCTGGGTGGCAGGCATACGAGGTGACAACTTGGGTAATTATGGCTGTGGTAAGTCGAGTCCTACATCATGGCTTCCTCACAATGGATTGTCTCATTTAATTTTCACCTTCATCCAGCAAAGGTATTTTTCCTTCAGTCCAGTAAGAAAACCGGCTTAAAGAGGTTTGGAAACACACTCACGGTTGTAGAGCAGGCTGTAGATAGTGGAGCCTAACTCTGAAGTCCACACTTGCTGACTGACCCTCAAGGAAACCAGGGGCAGGCTCCCTAGCCGGTTCACAGCCTCCTTGGTTGTGTGGTCCCTGACCCAGGTGTCATGAAACCGCGGCCTTGGTCACATGAGGCTTCATGGCCTTGGTGACAGGGGTAAGGAGTGTTCTTGCCACCAGGTGGGACAGGGCCTTGGCAAGTTGCTGCCTCCTTTACCTGTAAAGACTGAAGAGGTGAGCACTTGACCCAGCGTCCCATAGATGCCAACTTACCACACTCTGCCCATCGGTCAAGATCACCTCAGTAGACACCGGGGGTATTCCCTTAAACTGGGTACATTTTGTTGTACCACAATGAATTATTTTTAAAATTAAAAGTAAATAAAATGAAAAAAATAACACTGCAGGGACTAAGGAAATTTCATACCTGTTGTTTAATTGTAACTTTTTCACATTTTGTAGTCTTCATAAGAGGAAACAATTTATCACTCCTCCCCTCAAATCATAAAAAAAAAAAAACTTAAAAAACTAAAAAAAACAGGAACGCCTGGGTGGCTCAGTCAGTTAAGCGTCCGACTGCAGCTCGGTCATAATCTCATGGTTTGGGAGTTCAAGCCCTGCAACAAGGCTCCTTGCTGACAGTGCAGTGCCTGCTTGGGATTCTCTCTTTCCCTCTCTCTCTGCTCCTTCCCCACTTGCACTTTCTCTCTCTCTCTCTCTCTCTCTCTCAAAATAAATAAACAAACAAACAAACAAACAAAAAATAAAGCAGGGAAGGGGCCTAGGAAAGTGAGGGATAATGAAATTTTAGTTTTTTCCCTGTAGAGGAATTTCTGAATTAAAGCCTGGATTGGCCCTCACGTGGTATCAAGATTGTTCTTTGGAATGATGGAGCCAGTTAACAGTGACCTCTACGTTTTCCTCCACCAATGTTGGATTTAACTTAATTTTTACTAACTTAATAGTTGTGTAAAGTTTGTAAAAATGAATATCTCTTTAATGGCTAGGATATAATTTTCTTTGTATTTTCCCATGTGTTGAGAATGTATTCCTCACTTTTAATGACCTATCAATTAGAATGTGGTGTCAACTTTGTTTTCTCAGTTCTTTGTAATATTTTGGAAAGGATTTTATCATTGTCTGTGTTCATGTATTTTTTTTCTATATTTGGGTTTTTAAAAATACTTTATCTTGGGGCACCTGGGTGGCTCACTTGGCTAAGCATCCGACTTCTGCTCAGGTCATGATCTCTCGGTTTGTGAGTTTGAGCTCCGCATCAGGCTCTGTGCTGACAGCTGAGAGTCTGGAGCCTGCTTCGGATTCTTTGTCTCCCTCTCTCTCTCTGCCCCTCTTCTATTCTCTCTCTCTCTTTTTCTCTCTCTCTCTCTCCCATTTCAAAAATAAACGTTAAAAAAAAAGTTTTGGGGCGCCTGAGTGGCTCAGTCGGTTAGGCGTCCAACTTCAGCTCAGGTCATGATCTCACAGTTCGTGAGTTTGGGCTCTGGGCTGACAGCTCGGAGCCTGGAGCCCACTTCGGATTCTGTGTCTCCCTCTGCCTGCCCCTCCACTGCTTGCACTCTGTCTCTTGCATTGTTTCAAAAATAAATAAACATTAAAAAAATTTAAAAAGTTTTGTTTTCTATGCAGATATGCATTAATTCATGAAGTTTTTGTGGAGTTCCTGTTTTATATGAGGGACTCAAGATAAAGACGGTCCTCAAGTCACCTGCTGTGCTGTGATGGGGGCTAGGGAACAGGCATTGAAATAAATAACGTGCAGCTGTGGAGAAGATGATGCGGGCCACAGAAGCAACTCAAGTAGTGAGTGGGGACAGATTGGTGGTCACAGGAAGGAGTAGTTATTTCCCATCACGTTTTTGTTTTTGTTTTGTTGTTAAGGGAGCAGAAAACTGGGGAAGAATTTATGGAGGCAGTACTATTTGAACGAGACGTTGGAATGTTCCTATTTTGTCACTGATGTTACCTTTGTTCTTCAGGATTCAGGAATATATTTTTCTTCCTGAATGGAATGAAGGTGCTGTTCTTTGTTGTTTCTGGTTTAAAATAATTTAAGAAAATTAACTTCTTTAGAATTTGCTACAGTACTGTAATTTGTCTACCTGCTGATAACTAAATAGCCCGACAGTGTTTATAGTGTTTACTGAAAAGTAGTGATCCTCTCTATGTAGTTTGGCTTTATTTATACGTAAAGTTCTTAAAACTGAGCTTTTCTGAAATTTATCCTTTTTTAATTTTTTATTTAAAATTTTTTTAATGTTTATTTTTGAGAGAGAGAGAGAGTGAGTTGGGGAGGGGCAACGATAGAGGGAGACACAGAATCCGAAGCAGGTTCCAGTCTCTGAGCCCAGTGTGGGGCTCAAACCCATGAACCGCGAGATCGTGACCCGAGAAAAATTCTGATGCTTAACTGACTGAGCCACCCAGGCGCCCCGAAATTTATCTTGTTTTTTAATGTTTGCTTATTTTTGAGAGAGAGTGCATGTGCATGCACAGGCACGCATGTGAAGGGGGGGAGGGGCAAAGAGGATCTGAAGTACAGAGCCTGATGTGGGGCTCATATTCACAGACTGTGAAATCATGACCTGAGCCAAGTTGGCGCTTAACCAACTGAGCCACCCAGATGCCCCTGAAATTTGTCTTTAATTGATACTGAAAGTTTAGTATATGTCTGCTCTCAAGAGCCTTTATTAAAAGGATATCGTGCCCTCTTGTTTATCCAGATGAATTTTACCAGCACTTCATTCAATCTCTAGACAGTATTCTTCAGTGACTTTTTCTCTTGTTTTTAAAATTGTCATCGTGTAATTTTATTTAAAAAAAATAGTGAAGAAATTAATACCCTCTTATTAGTTTTTAAAAAAAATTTTTTTTTCAACGTTTATTTATTTTTGGGACAGAGAGAGACAGAGCATGAACGGGGGAGGGGCAGAGAGAGAGGGAGACACAGAATCGGAAACAGGCTCCAGGCTCTGAGCCATCAGCCCAGAGCCTGACGCGGGGCTCGAACTCCCGGACCGCGAGATCGTGACCTGGCTGAAGTCGGACGCTTAACCGACTGCGCCACCCA